TATTGCTTGTTCCCACCAGCCCTGTTGAGCACTGATGGATATGAGCTTGGATGGAGTGCTGCACTGCTGAGCCTGCCTGGCTTCCCGGAACAGTGTGGTCTGACTTGGCTGGGGTAACATCTGTCTGAAGCAGAAAGAGATGGATCCTGCCTCAGATGAATCATGCCTGGGGTAGTAATCTTCTATGCAGTGAACAGGAACTCATTATAAGTAAATGAAACTGCTTACAACTTCTGAATTTATCCCATCTGTTTCCAATCCATAATGTTTGAAATGGGTAAGTTGCTTACATTCTAGTGAGACACTTTGTCAGATCAGTTTTGGAACATTTAATAACTCGTACCTTGAAAAATTGTGTGAAAACAACATCGGAAAAACTAATTACCTTCTGTTGAAAATAACCCCATTTCCAAAAAAAAAAATATCTGAGCTACTGTGTAGTGAATATATTTTGTATTGCCACAACAATCCCTTGTTTGCTTTCTCAAGTGTTACAAACTCATGTGAGAAGGAAGAGCTTGTTTAAGTTAAGCTGTAACAATACTACATGGCCAGCACGATGAAGCCCTTTGTGAAGATCACCTCAATAAATAATACCACCTCCTAAATGACTGTTCAGGTAGTGCTCTATATAATTTAGGAGGTGCTTAAAAAAATGAACCTTTCCTGCAGGGTTGCCTTGACTCCCTTCCGCCACAAACCCCTTCCCCCTCCCGCTCTCCCCCTTCCCCTGCACTGCAAGAGGTGTTCAGCTTCTATGTGGTTCTGGCTGTGTCCACTGGCCCTGGGCACTGCCGAATCCGTGCTTCGTTGTGTTCGCTTTCCGAAGCTCAAGGTCGGTCTCTTGCGGTGTCTCCGGCCCAGGCGATGCACCAGCAGCACCACCCAGCGGGAAGCAGCACCGCCCTGCAGTCACAAGGCACTGGGTAAGAACTGCCAGGCAGTGTTTGCACGGAGCATCCCCGACGGTACCGAGATCCAGCGCAATCCCCCCCAGCCCGAAGAAGTAAGACACGATAAAAAGATTTCTTGCATCCCTGCTCCTCTCAGTACGTGTTTTTTCCCTGTGAAGAAGTCTGAGCCACTCTGACTATAAAAATCCAGACTTGCATTTTTCTTAAAATACTTTATTTCTATGAGGTTTATTTTTCCAAGAGAGAGGCAGGAGAAGCTTTGGAGGCAGGATGGGCCACCGCGGCTTCGGGAATCTGCATCACGTCTTCCTCGAATCCTCTCCTCCTGCCTTCCATGCTCTCAGGAGGGTTTGGATGGAAACAGTGCTGATGTTGGAAGCCTCAAGATTGAGAAGGGCAATAGAATCATAGAATCCTAGGGGCTGGAAGGGACCTCAAAAGATCATCTAGTCCAACCCCCCCTGCCAGAGCAGGATCACCTAGAGCACATCACACAGGAACTCATCCAGGTGGGTTTTGAATGTCTCCAGTGAGGGAGACTCCACAACCTCCCTGGGCAGCCTGTTCCAGTGCTCTGTCACTCTTACAGTAAAAAATTTTTTTCGGATATTCACCTTGAGCCTCCTATGCTCCAATTTACACCCATTACCCCTTGTCCTATCACTGGTCATCACTGAGAAAAGCCTAACTCTGTCCCCTTGACACTCACCCCTTACATATTTGTAAACATTGATGAGGTCACCCCTCAGTCTCCTTTTCTCCAAGCTAAAGAGACCCAGCTCCCTCAGCCTTTCCTCATAAGGGAGATGTTCCACTCCCTTCATCATCTTTGTAGCTCTGTGCTGGACTCTTTCGAGCAGTTCCCTGTCCTTCTTGAACTGAGGGGCCCAGAACTGGACACAATATTCCAGATGAGGCCTCACCAATGCAGAATAGAGGGGGAGGAGAACCTCTCTTGACCTACTAACCACACCCTTTCTAATGCACCCCAGGATGCCATTGGCCTTCTTGGCCACAAGGGCACATTGCTGGCTCATGGTCATCCTCCTGTCTACCAGGACCCCCAGGTCTCTTTCACCTACACTACTCTCCAGCAGTTCAGCCCCCAACCTGTACTGGGACATGGTGTTGTTCTTCCCCAAATGTAAAACTCTGCACTTCCCCTTGTTGAATTTCATCATGTTTCTCCCCGCCCAACTCTCCAACCTATCTAAGTCTCTCTGAATGGCAGCACAGCCTTCTGGTGTGTCAGCCACTCCTCCCAGCTTAGTGTCATCAGCAAACTTGCTGAGGGTACATTCTATACCCTCATCCAGGTCGTTGATGAAGATGTTGAACAACACCGGTCCCAGTACTGACTCCCGAGGGACTCCACTAGTCACACACCTCCAACCAGATTCTGCCCCATTGACTACAACTCTCTGACTCCTTCCTTTCAACCAGTTCCTGATTCACCTCACTACCTGATCACCAAACCCATACTTGATCAACTTATCTACAAGGATGCTGTGGGAGATGGTGTCAAATGCTCTACTGAAATCAAGATAAACCACATCTACCGCTCGACCATCATCTCTCCACCTATTAATTTCCTCATAGAAGGCTATGAGGTTAGTCAAACATGATTTACCCTTGATAAAACCATGCTGACTGCTCTTCATGACCCCCATGTCCTTGATGTGCCTGGAGATAGTGACAAGAACAAGTTGTTCCATCACCTTTCCAGGGATGGAGGTGAGGCTGACCGGTCTATAGTTACCCGAGTCCTCCTTCTTGCCCTTCTTGTAGACTGGTGTGACATTTGCTATCCTCCAGTCCTCAGACACCTCTCCTGTTGCCCATGACTTACCGAAGATGATGGAGAGTGGCCTAGCAATGACCTCCACCAGCTCCCTCAGCACCCTTGGATGCATTCCATCCGGACCCATCAATTTATGGACGTCCAGATTACTCAACTGATCCCTAATCCAATCCTCATCTACTATGTCAAACTCCTCATCTATCTTGACTATTTCTGGTTGCCTGATGTACCCTTTTGTCCACATAGGTGAGCACAAAACTAGAGACAATCACCAGTTCCTGCCTTCACCTGTACTGTTGCTCCTAACAGCTTTCACGAGTGCTCTGTCAGTTTTGCTCCCAGTTCTTCCTGTTCTCTTTCCCCACTCCTTCCACAGGTAGCACCACCTTTGTAAGACAAAAGCTGGCTGGTGCCTGGAAAACTAGGGTGGATTTTGCCTGCCTCAGCCCATTCTTAGGAAGAATGTGTGGCTGTATGGTGTACCCCATTAAGGTCCTGATCTTGTATTATGAAAAAGTCTTTGAGGGAGAGTTGAAAAGGTAGAGGTTTCTTGATTATTCATGACTTGGCTTATTGTATACTCCTTCAGGCCCATCATTCTGTCTGTACATGAGATTGTTGCAGTGGCAGGGGAGGGCTCAATAGCTAGAAAATAAAAAGAA